CGAAGAAACTAGATTATAATGTTAGCCGTTGCAAACTTTAAAAACTTAGTCATTTTCAAAAAACTAGAAGTTTTTTTTTTATAAAAAAAACTACACTTAAGGCCCGCGAACCCGTCCCGTCCCAACCCGTCCCATCCCGTTTGTTAGCGGGACGGGATGGGCCTACTGTTCCGTCCCGTTTGTCTCGTCCCGTTGCATCCCGTCCCGTCACCGTCCCGCTTAAATATCGTCCCGTCCCGTTAATTTTATCATGTCCCGTCCCGTTGGACAGCCATAGTTTCCTTAATGGAAACGTTCCTAGTACTTTGTAATATTTTTTCCTATATTTCTCTTGAAACCAATCCCTAACATATTTAAATGGTAATATGTTTTCCTATTTTTTTTGCTGGAATTAATTCATTCCGTAACAGATTTTCTACTTTCCATACATGGATCTATTTACCCAAACAAAAAAGAAGTACATGTACCTTTTTATACAACATAAACTCTAGCGAAAGTATACATCTTTATATTTTGATAAAATAAAATACATATGTTTCAAGAAAAATGTAATGCATATTTGAGGTAAAATATACATTATATTTTATATTATGATTATTCCAGGGAGTACTTTCTTAAAAGAAAAAATCAAAGGTATATTATTACCGTTGGTATACATAGTATTTCTCATTAAAATGGTATATTCTTAAAAAGATCACAAAAGGTATATTCTTACGTTGATATTTATATACATGGCATTTCTATGGATAAAAAATATACCAATTACCTTAATATCATCATAACATATATTGAGTTATAATACATTAGTATACCTCTAAAAATGAATTATACCAGGAATATATAATATTATACTTCAATAAAAATATAATATAATTGAGTTATACCATATATCTTAGCATTTCCCCTATATTAATACAATAGTATAAACAGAATTCCTCTAAGAAGTTATACCAAATAAATGTATAATGAATAATTGGATATGTTGTATTAGTTTCATAATGATGAGTGAAACAGCTAAGAAATGTAATAGAAAATATGAGAACATCACTGAATCCCTAATCTATATCTATATTATATTAAAAGCAGGAAGCCTTTAAGTTAAAAGTTAAATTACTAAAGCCCACTATAAATTAAAGACTTTTTTATAATTATATTTAAATAAAAAAATTATTAATTTTAAGAGTCCTCCTGAAACGGTTGTGTCCTTTCAATTGTTTAACTAGCCTTTATAGTCGAAACAAACCTACCCTTTCAAAATTAGTGCCCATTCGTATGGCAACCTAATTATAAGAAGATGCTCTAAAGTATCTGAGCAGCCAAACGCATAAGAATAGACTAAGAGAGAAATCAAAGCATTCTTCTTTCTGCCAACTTCTCAAAAGTTCACTGCCAACGTATGCATTTTGGGTGGTCTTTAGATTTTCTTTTTCTTTTCCAAGCTATACTTTCTCCAATAGAATACGTGAATTTATATCATTCAATATTAGAATTTTGCTGAAAAAATAAAGGATAATCATGAATGACACAAGCAACCCTTAGAAGAAAACTTTGAAGATATAGAGAGTCAAGAAAGCAATTTTGCATGCACAATGCTATAAAAATTTTCTAAAGTAGAAGCAATGCGGATAAAGTTCTTTGGCTTTCAAATTTTCCAACCGATGCACAGTATGTTTGTAGTGCCAATTACATCGCTTCAAAATCATTGTTGACTTGGTTCATGGCAATTAATTGCAGTAGGTGACGAGTTATACGTTGGCGATATAACAGTTCTACTTTCTTAACCCTATTATTTATTTATTTTAGTTTCTACCCTTTTAATTTACTAAAATCAACTTCTATGATTTATAGAGTAGAGTAATTTTTAAAGTGATAATCTCATGTTGCACAAATGCATAATTAGGAATAATATATGTTTACTGTTTAATTTGTTATTCTTTTTGTTGACTAATAAAATTATTGATATATAAATTAATTAGATGCATCAAACAAGAAGATCATTGGTAAAGTTACAAGACATGCATGAATCAGAACTTGCACTATTTTTTTGATAATATTCTTGAGATCATGAAAATGATATCTTATATATAGACCATTTTGGCACTAAAGACATATATATCTATATGCTTGGTGAGAACATACGATCAAAATTTAGATAGGTTAAAAAGTTTAGCATTTATTGAAAACTATTGCACGAATTACCGCGCACTACCATATAAATGATTGAAAAAGAAGATGCAGAAGAAATGTTTTTCTATTTGTTGTTTGGGAAAGTATGAGATACATATTGTCTAACATATTAGCGGTTGACTATTCCTATTTTCCGAGCCAGGTGTAATTAATTGATTTGATGAGAATGAGTATGTATCAGTTTGGTTTGAAATTTCATTAAATGGTATAGTAAAAAATCTTTGATTCAAAAGGCTCTCTTTGAAAATGGTCTAGCTCTCAATAAGCAAATATATCAATGTGAAAGTTTGCAAATTAAACGTTCCTCCTAATTGAGTAAATGATACAGGTGGGTTTTACTGCTTTCGAGGTGCTATGTTAATTTATATGCACTATACTTTTATGTGTTCATGTATAATTATTTAATTAAAGCATTAAATTAATAATATGGATATTATTATACAAAAAAATATATTATATGACTTGGCATATACGTGCAACGCACGTGCCGCAAAACTTGTTTAAAATAGAAGAGGGAGTGTGAAAAGACAAATATCCCATAATTTGTGCTTTTTTAGTAAAAATTGCACGGGGCGCTCTATTTGGTCGCCCCCATTTAACCTATACCCATTTTTTTTAAAATTTTTAACTTGTACCCACTTTTTAAACAACTTCAGCCCCCTTTCTCCTCTTCCTTCTCCTCCTCAAAGTTATATCCGCCCATAGTTCCATTAGAAGAAATTCAAAGCTTCCTTACCAAATGTTTTTTGGTGATGTTGTCAAACTATTTTATAATTCCAAAAGACCTGAGAAAAATAAGGTATTCAAGACCCACAGTAAGTCAATAGGACTGAAAAAGGTTAAACATGAACAAATAAATGAGAAGAAATTAAATGGACAACCAGTGGCAGTGGAAAAGTATCCAACAGAGAAACTTCCTAGCTTCTAGGTTTAAAGGATACTGTCTTTGAATATCAAGTTAACACCATTTGAAAGAGGCAATCCAATCAAACCAAATTGACATCGAATCATATGGAAAGTCAGTTAAAACTTCAACTCTAAGAAGGCTGAAGTTCGCCTGTTACAAACAAAAACTTCAGCTCTAGAGCTGAAGTTCGCCAGTTACAAACAAAAACTTCAGCTCTAGAGCTGAAGTTCGACAGTTACAGAACAAAAACTTCAGCTCTAGAGCTGAAGTTCTCCAGTTACAGAACAAAAACTTTAGCTCTAGAGCTGAAGTTTGCCAGTTACAAAAACAAAAACTTCAGCAATTACAAACAAAAACTTCAGCAATTACAAACAAAAACTTCAGCTCTAGAGAACAAAACTTCAGCTACTATGCGTAAGTTCAGCAATTACAAACAAAAACTTCAGCACACTTGCTACTTCAGTCCCGTCTACTAGAATGCTGAAGTTTTGCGTGATTGCCTTTGCTACTTCAGCCCCGTATGCTGAAGTTACGCGAAAAAGTGGGCACGCTTGCAATTTTTTTTTGCAAAGCGGGCACAAGCTAAAACGTGACCCAAAAAACGGGTATAGATACAAATGCCCCAGTTACTGCTTATTAATTATTTGCATAATCTCTATCTGCCGTTAATATAAAAAAATTGCCATTTATGGAATAAACAAAGAGTAATATTATTTTCTTAAATATTTTTTTATAAAATGATCAGCTGTGTATTTTATCCTTTGAAATAAGCCATAGTTTTAAAATTAATCTGAATTTAACCTAATACTACATATAGAGCTTGTTTGGCTTAGCTGATTTAGAGTAGCTTATAAGCATTAGGTGCCGATAAGCACTTTTAAGTGATGAACTGATTTAAAAAATAAGCAGTTACGTGTTTGGATAAAAGTGCTGAAATTAATAATATGCAGCTGAAGAACTGGGTATACGAAGAGTTTTGTTTTAAAAAGAAATATTTTAGGGATAGAATAGTAAATATTTTGGTCAAACTTAAAGTGCTTATAAGCTGAAATTTGATAAGCTGGGGGAGACCAACTTATGATTTTTGGCTTATTTTTGGTTTATAAGCACTTTTAATTTTACCAAACGCGTAGATAAGCCAAAAAGTGCTTATAAGCTAGTTTGACCGGCTTATAAGCTTAGCCAAACACCCTCACAGACTAATATTTTGATTGGCCAAGCTCAAAAAATGATAAAAAGTATTTTTTGTCAAATATGCTTTTCGAAAAAGCACTATTGAAAAAAAACAATTAGTGTTTGACAAATTAACTTAAAAAGCTCTTTTGCTAATATTAGAGTAGCTTATGCTATTATCTAAAAGCAATTTTTTTTTTTTTAAAAATCCGAATCTCCAAAATTAAGCACCTTTGTATATTATGCTCTAAACGGATCTCGTGACAGTGTATACTTCTTTATTTATTTAGTCACAAAAACAAGCAGATATTAAATTCATTCACATTTTTATCAGAGAATGACATGAGCTGATATGAACTATATATCGCAAACAAAAATGCAATAATGGAACAAAACCTCCGAGGAGAGTCGAACGGAGAAAATAGAAAAACCACGGAAAATTAGAAACTCGACTAAAACTGGAAAACAAGGGGTTTGAACTCGGACCGGGAACTTGATTAAATACTGAATAAGCAACATCACCGCCGCAAAATAGTGCAGATATGGTGCTTGTGAAAATGGGTAAATGGAGAGATTTTTTTGGTAAGTCTGTTTTCAGTGAAGAAAAGGTTCTTTCTCTGGAAGGAAGTGCTCATAGTGGTGTATTTCAACGGAGAAGATGATGATTGACGTAGAAAGCTATGAAGGCGAGCTGAACAGCTATGGGGGTTGGGGGGGGGGGGTGGGGATTCAGTGTATTCGTATTGTGCAGAGAGAGTGTGTGTGAGTGAAAATTTGAGTGAATTTCTTGCAGAGTGCGTTTGAATTGGTATTTTTGCTACATCCCTTATGAGTGCTGCGACATTAGATTAATTTTACAATTCCATTCCTCTTAGGCCTTAGCTCTTGCACAAGCTTGCTCCAAGGAGTGACAGATAAGTACAATAGAAAATCAAGAATCTTTCTTGAGTTAATTTATTCCAGTTCAGTGCTTAACAGATTGAACAGTTGTATGCAATATACAAATTAATAATTAAATCAAGATTTATGGCCTAGAAAAATGAACTCTCACATGGTTGTACCAGGTTTTTTAATGAGCTTAATTAAAGATCCTTAATCTGCGCTCTCGTACTTCTGAAAAGTCAATGTGTCTTTATGCTTTTATATCTTCTATGGCAGATAAAAACAAACTTTCTCACACTCTACACCTACCCCCCTCGCGGGCCTGACCCCAAAAATCCAATAGAAAATTCTCAGGAAAACAACTTGGTGGTGTTAGGTGAGTGTTTGGAGGGGGAGGGGATATAGAAGCACTCGTGCATTTCCATAGTTCTTTTTGGCTGAATTAGTATTAATTTCTTCGCTCTTCCCACTAGAGAAACCCTCAAACGGGATCTAGCTAGAGAGATATGGCTTATGCTGTTATAACTTCCATTATGACAACTATAGAGCAAGTCTTGCAATTCAATCCAAGTTTGATTTCTGAATGTAGGGAATCCATTGATTCACTTTATGGAACACTTTCTTACTTGCAAGCTTTCCTTGAGGATACGGGAAACTGGATCAATGATCAAGAAGCATTGAAACTTTTGGAAAAGAAGATCAGTGATGCAGGATATAAAGCAGAAGATGCATTTGATTTGTGCCTAAGAAGAATCCATGTGGCTAATACTGAACATGATCAAAACAACGCTCGTTGTAAGCTCTATGACGAGTTGCAGCAAATAACAGAAGTGATGGATTCCATACAAGTAGGGGTAATGAAGTTCAAGAATGACCAGCACAATAACCAGCAAGATATCAAAGATCTTTCAGCAATAACTTCTTCACCTTTGCGCTCATCAGGGCGTGTCTTGGATGAGGAAAATACTCTTGTTGGAATGGAGGACGATTTCAACATCATAAGAGATCAACTCTTTGGGCAAACACCGGAGCTGAACGTTGTCTCAATTGTTGGTATGGGCGGTATCGGTAAGTCGACTCTTGCTAGAAGTTTATTTGACCATCCATCAGTATACCATCGCTTTGATATTTCTTCATGGGTTACTGTTTCTCAAGCATATGTTGCAAAAGAAATGCTTTTGGATGTCCTATGCTTCGGTACTCCAGGTGGGAAGGCAATGTACCGCAATATGAGTGAAGATGAATTATTGGACCAAGTGCATAGAAAATTGAAAAGGAAGAGGTATTTGATTGTTTTGGACGATATGTGGACTATAGAGGCTTGGGACCAAGTAAGAAGATCGTTTCCCGATGATGGAAATGGAAGTCGCATCATGATAACTAGTAGGCTCTTCGAAGTAGCTAATTGTGCTGGAAATGGTTGCCCTCCGCATCACATGCCTTTTCTTAGTCTTGAAGATAGTTGGAAATTACTATCTCTCAAGGTTTTTGGAAAGGAAGATTGTCCTCCTCAGCTTGGGGAAGTAGGAAAGCAGATAGCGCAAAAATGTCGAGGGCTACCTCTCTCAGTGGTTGTCATTGCTGGGCTTCTCTCCAGGACCAATAGGACATATGATGATTGGAAACAAATTGGTGACAATGTGAATTCTCATATATGTTCGACCTCTGAGCAGTGTTTAGCAATATTAGCTTTGAGTTACAACTACTTGCCTTGTAGCTTGAAAGCCTGCTTTCTTTACATGGGTGTTTTCCTTGAAGATGCAGATATTTCTGCGGATAAGTTGATTAGAATATGGGTTGCTGAAGGTTTTCTGAAGCGAATTAGTAATAAAAAGCCAAAGGAAGTAGGTGAAGAATGTTTAGAGGAACTAGTTAGCAGAAGTTTGATTATGGTTAATAGTCGAGGGTGGGTAAGCAGAAAACTTAAAAGTTGCAGAATTCACAACCTCATTCGACTAATATGCTTGAGAGAAGGGAAAGCGGAGAAGTTTTTTCATGTCTTAAAAGAATGTTACGAAGTGTCCTCAGAAGGTGTGGAGAGTGAACATCGGCTATTTTTGTACGAAGATGCTGTACAAAACCAGAATCTCGGCCTAGAGAAAGGCAATCTGGATTCAGTTCGTACCATCTCGTGCATGCATAAACCACATGCTTCTTTACTCGACTATGAATGCTACAAAATAGTGGACTCTTGTTTTTAATTGCTGAGGGTATTGGATGTGCTACTGATTTATTTTCTACGTTTTCCAACTGAGATAACAGAATTAGTGCACTTGAGATATCTTGCATTGGCCACTTCTACCAATGTTCCAGCATCAATATCTAATCTGTGGAATCTACAGACATTGATTGTTCATTCAGTTGCAAATGAATTATCCTGGCCATTAGAAATTTGGGAACTATCTAGTTTGATATATTTCTATCCTGGGAAGATGTATGTGCCTGCTCCTCCTAAGGCACCAAATTTTTTGGGTCTAGAAAACATAGAAGAGCTTTCACTAAGCACTGCTACTTCTTCCGACTTGAAGGAAATCTTTATGGCAATCCGTAACGTAAAGGTATTGGATGTTGAGCTCGATCAAGATGGATGGGATAATTTTATAGATAATCTAATCTATCTAGCTGATCTTCAGAATCTAAGAATTCTTCTCCGTCTTCCGTTTGATGCACAATTATTCCGAAGGCCGAGTGCTCGACCATTTGACGTGTTCCCAATAAACCTCAAGAGTTGGATACTTGCAGAGACACATCTACTATGGACGGAGATGACAATGCTTAGTAACTTACCCAACCTTGAGGGGCTCAAACTAGAACTTTTTGCTTTTCAGGGGAGCAATTGGGATCTAGATGAAGGGGGTTTCAAGAAACTCAAGTTGCTAGACATTGTTCAAACGGAGTTGGTGCACTGGCATGCGACCAGTGAAAGTTTTCCAGTTCTAGAGTATCTAGTCCTAACACATTGTTATAAGTTGAAGGAGGTTCCTACAGAGATTGGAGATATTCCCACATTGAAATTAATTGAGTTGCATTATTGTAGCCAATCTGCTGTCACTTCTGCAGAGGAAATTCTAGAAGAACAACAAAGCTTGGGAAATGAAGTTCTTGCGGTCCGCGCCTACAACACAAGAGGTACGTAAAAGTCATGCGCGCTCGAGAGAGTTTTAGTCTGTGCTTTCTTTTTGCTTTATCTTTAATTTGCAATATATTGACTTCATTGGTATGCGACTTTGAAGTACAATTAGGTGTCAAGTGGCCTTTTGCTACTCATTTTTCTCTTAGCATTTTGTAAAATGTAACGACTCAGTCACTTGTTAGTCAAATCATTTTAAAGTGTTAGAATTATTCCTTTCTTTTAGCTGCAAAAAAAGGATTATTCATTTCATCTTATTGTATGTGAAGGTGTTTGACTAAGCATATAGCTTTAAAAAGCAAGAAATACTTTTAAATCATGACATTTATGTAGCTACAATTCATGTCAGTAAAGGTATAATGAAAATTTTAAAGCTGAATTATTGATAAAAAAAATGTTAAATTATTTCGATTTATAAAGGGAAAAGTGTCACATAAAATTGAATAAAGGAAGTGCCATAATTTTTTGACGTTTTAGCTCTTTATGTTACTGTATATTCGGGTTCGTTGGTTGAAAAAAAATTTCTTTGCCGAATTACAAAGATTCCTCCTCTGTTATCTATATTTTACTTCAGTATTTGTTTATTCCTTTTTTACTTAATCTATTTGTCTAAGGCAGTGACGATTTGTTGGTTTACCAGGCTAAGAAGTGGAAGAAAATGAAGAAATAAGGGACATTCTCAACTAAGAATGTAGGTATGTTTGATCCTTTTATGCTTCTAAATGTGATGACCGTTGATGAATTGAATAAGCTGAAAACAAAATGGAAAACCTTCTCTGGGAGTTTGCATAAAAGAAATTGCTGATATTAATTAAGACATGACGAGATTGCACAGAGTGACTATAAATTTTTAAAAGTTTTTAGTAATTGAAGTTATGATTTCATTAACAGCAAAATAAACAGTTCTATGATGTCATGCGGCCTTTTTTTTTTTTTTTCTGGGTATTTGTATTTGTGATTGATAGCTTGGAGAGGACATATTCGCTACTTATTTGTTTGAATTTAATGATTATAGTTAGATACTGCAAAATCTGCGTAAGGGAGGTTTGGTGGTTTATTAAGATCTTAAGCTATACAAAATAGTACATTCTTTAAAAAGAAAAATATAGACTAGTACCCAATTTATGTGTCATACTTTCTTTTTTAGTCTGTCCCAAAAAGAATGTCATACTTTCTTATTTAGAAACAATTTAACTGTAAATTTTCTTTTTACCCTTAATGAGATTATTTACGGCCACACAAATTTCTATAGCTTGTCCTAGATCATAAGTTTCAAAAGTTTTCTTTTTTTCTTCTAAACTCCATGCCGAGTAAAGCACCGCCACATAAATTCGAACGGAGGGAGTACCCTAATTAAGTATGAATTGAATAGTTACCTATTTTCATATGATGTCAAACCGAAGTTTCAATAAGTTCACAATCCTGGTAAGTTCATTTGTAGTCGCACACCTTATTTGCTCTCTCATTTTTCCTTTTTCATGTGGATTCTATTATTATGGGTATATCCAAGTCTTCTTTTCCCCAAACTAACTTTAACCCAAGACAAGAGTATAGTGTATAATACATGGAGCAACTCAAGAATAAATGCCTATATAAACTAGCTAAAACTAAATAAAGGTTTCCACGAAACCTAAGTTGCGCGGATTCTCCAAAATAATGCCGTACCTGTGTCGGATTTGTCAAAAATGCATTACTTTTGAAAGATCCAACATGCACCCGGCGAAATTTTTGGAGAGTCCGAGCAGCATAACACAAAACTATGTGTGGAGCTCACTGACATATGTCTTCCTCAAGTAGCTATCGATCTTTCAGCAGCCTTGTTCACAGAGACGGAGCCAGAATTTTCATCAAGCGGTGTCAAAATATAAATAATTAGATACATCGAAAAGTCAAGGGGAGTCAACGTATAGTAAATATACATAAAATAAAATAAAAAAGTTATTTAGTAATATAGTGTAATTTTCCGGCGAAGGGGTGTCATGCTTGACACCCCTTTGTTCCATGTGGCTCGGCCACTGCTTGTTCAATTCCTATATCTATAAAATAAAAGAAAAAGAGTAAAAGAGGGGGTGAGATCACCAACTCAGTCAGTAGTCACCTAATCCAAACCGGACTGAGAACATGCTATTTAAAAATAGAAGAAAGCACATAATTACATATTGAGCAAATATACATACATTTATGCTACTCTCAATGCTGCTCAGCCTTAGCATAGAACCATGGTTCACTATATATAAATGTCTTTTAAACAAGTACTCCATTGTTCTCCTAATCCCTGAGTAGCTAGGATCCCTGATGTGCTACCCCAACCCCAACGTCCAGACTGTTTGGATACAATTAAATTCCACCACATGGATTAGCGATTCAATCTGTCTACGTTTTACTTACTTATGTAGTCTAAGAGTACCACAAGACTCATAAACATGACTAAATTATGTCCTAAACCCAGTGTTAGAAATAATTTGAGTCAGTCTTCTCAGTGGACATGTGGTCTTCCTAGACTTGTTGGATTGATATAATATTGAATGGTGCAGATAGATACAACACAATACATCACAGCTGTGTATCTGCATGATTCCAGAATATTCCTACACATAAGATACAAATACACAACTCATAGTTATTTTTCATTCTTTGTACAAAGCTTGTTCTAGTCTTTTGAACTTCTTCCTAGGCTAATGTTGAATCTGCAGTGGCACCACTCTGGGTGCGTCAATCTTGCCAACTGCTGTCACAATCCTTTTTCGCTCTGTAAGATTCCACTGTGATAATTAAATGAACTGTATCCAGAATTGAAATGGATTGATCTACCATGTGGATTTTATAATTCAAAGTTTGCACCTTCGCTTTTTCCTCAACATCTAGTATGCTTGGACTTTCTTGTAATTTTTTTATGTATCAATGTACCAATGTGACAGTTAAGAATTTGATTTTGAGACGAACTGTAAATATAAGTTGTGTGCTTGATGTTGGGCCTACTTTTTCTTTTTGCTGTGGGTTCCAAAAAAAATATCCGTGAAGAAAACAGAAAATCTTCTTTTTTATTTATCACTACCAAAGTAGATAGTACAATTTTTATTTTATTTTTTCGGTTTAAGTAGTTGGTATCCGAATTCCATTGTTCGTGAAAAAAGTCTAGTTGATTGGCTACTTAAATTTTTACTTTGTTGGTAAGGATTCAATTTTTCACAGTAATCCCTTCTTCGTTTATCCTTTTCCTCCCTTTATGTATATTTATAAAAATCTCATTGTCCTGACTAATTCGAAGCTGTGCCCAGTATAAGAGAAAAACTCAATTATAATATAGTTGTGATGACTCAAAAGGTTATCTCGTGTTTTAGAACCCAATTTGGGATTCCGAAGTCTTAAAAACCTCATTTTTTTTCTTCTCGATTTACGTGCGCAGTCCGGTACGGATTCGGTAAGTCTTTATGTGAAAATTTGAGAAAAATATTAAGTTTTACCTTTAAAATTGATTTAAGTTGACTTCGTCAACATTTTGAGTAAACGGACCCAGACTCGTGATTTGACGATCCCGGAGGGTCCATAGAAAAATATGGGACTTGGGCGCATGCCCGAAATTGAATTCCGAGGTCCCTAGTTCGAGAAATGAATTTTTGAAGAAAATTGTTAAACTGAAAATATGATGGTTTTTTTGAAATTTAATAATGCTAGATCTTGTTGGTATCGGGCCCGTATTTTGGTTCCGGAGGCCGGTACAGGTATAATATGGTATTTAAGTCATGTCTGTGAAATTTGGTAAGAAACGGAGCTTATATGACGTGATTCGGACCATCGGTTGTGAAAATAGAAACTTTAAGTGTTCTTGAGAATTTCATTGATTTTGATGCTAAATCCGTAGTTTTGGGTGTTATTTTGGCGATTTGATCGCATGAGCAAGTCCGTATGATGTTGTTTTTACTTGTGTGAATGTTTGGTTTGGAGCCCCGAGGGCTCGGGTGAGTTTCGAATAGGCCACGACATGTTTTGGACTTAGAGATTTCTGCTGTTTTGCTGTTGCAGGTGCACAGATGTATCCTTCTTCGCGTTCACGAAGGAACACTCGCGAACGTGAAGGGTAGACTGGTCTGGAGGAGAATCCTTCTACGCGAACGCGAAGCGTTGGAGGCATTACCCTTCGCGAATGCGTCCAATCTATCGCGAACGCGAAGTATGGGAATTGGGGGAGGGGAATGATACTCTACGCGAACGCAGCAAGCGGCTTGCGAATGTGAAGGTTAGGAGGGATATACCTTCGCGAACGCGTAGGATGTCTCGCGAACACGAAGGTCACTAGGACCGCAGGTTCGCGAATGCGAAGAAGGTCTGTCCAGTGTTTTAATAACATAATCAAAAACGGGAGTCTTCTATAATTTCATATTTCTTCCATTAAAACTCGACCTTGGGCAATTTTTGAAGAGGGATTTCAACACCAAATCATAGGTTTGTGTTCTTAAACTCATTTCTTTCAATTTCCATCAACACCCATTAGATTTCTAGGTCTAAATCTTGTTCTTTAAGGGTAAAAATTAAGGATTTAGGAGAATTGGGAATTTTAGAAATTTTAGAATTTAGACCTCGATTTGGAGTCGGATTCCGAAACTAATTACATATTTGGGCTCGTGGGTGAATGGGTAATCGGGTTTTGGTTCGAGCCTTGAGTTTTGACCAAGCGGGCCCGTGGTCAAATTTTTGACTTTTCGGGGAATTGTTGGGAAAACTATAATTGTGCATTAGAATTGGTTTCTTTGGCTTTAATTGATGTTAATAAGTTAATTATGAATAGATTCGGGCGGATTGGAAGCATAAACTAAGGGAAAAAGCGGTATTTGAGGCTTCAGTTTGGTCGTGGGATCGAGGTAAGTGTTGTGGCTAACCTTAGCTTGAGGGATTAGGTATTGTTACCTTATTTGCTACATGTTTATTTGTTAAGTACGACGTATAGATGAGGTGGCGAGTATCTATACGTTGTTGTCGGGTCATAGCATGCGAGTGAGTCTTATACTTGTGACCGTTGTGTTCCTTTATTTTTACCGTTCTTGCTTAAACTGGTTATCGTTCATGTTAAACAAGTTTTATTATGTTTTTCCTGGCTTTTGGATATTGGTTGATTATTGGGTAAGTTGAGATTCATGTTGTGAAGTTAAGTGATGAAACAAAGTTGTTTAATTATGATGCCCTTGTCGGGTTGTTATTGTTTCTGTTGTTTGCTTATGTGGTGAGGAAGAGTGTTAAAACATGAAGGGTGCTGTCGCGCACATTTCTATTATTTATATGGTAAGGTTGAGTGTTAAAGAACGAAGCGTGATGCCGTGCACGTATCCATTATTTATTATCTTGTGAGGCTGAGTGGTAAAGTGATGTTCCAAACGTCAATACCACACAAGGGGGGGGGGGGATGAATTGTGTGGTACCCAATTTTCGATCTAGAAGAACCTGCTTCTTCTAGGTGTTCTAATTACTACTGTTTGCGGAATTAAAATACAGATAATAAAAAAATACAAGGATTTTTACGTGGAAAACACCTGGCTCAAAAGGTGAAAAAACCACGACCTACTACTCAGTAGGATTTTCCCGAACATCCACTAAACTCAATGAGCCAAAAACAGCATTTACAAAACTCTTGTAAACCTAAGGAGTAACTCTAATCCCAGTGTGGCACACAGTCTCAACTGTTGCGACACTTTCAAGTTAACTCTAACTTGAATACTCAAAGTACCTAATACAATTGCTTCTATGAAAGCTAGAAAGGTACAAGTTTTAAATCACCTACTACAATTGAACTAGAATAAGAATAAATACAATGGAACTGGTTCTTCTATCTTGTTCAAGTAGCTGCAGGCGTGCACACTCAATCTCACATAAATTGCTTGCAAAATAGCCTTGCTCTTTTGCTCTCAATTTTGCTTAACTTCAGTGTATGTGCATTCCTGTAAAAGAGAACAACTCAGTTATTTATTAGATTAGTAATTAGAGTTGGATTGTAACTCAATTTCTGATCCTCCATTGAGTTTGAGTCCTAGACCGATCCAAACTCCAACCTTTATCCGAATGTGTTCTCTTCTTATAAGGAGACATCTTCTCCTTATCCCATATGCAATCTTCTCGATCAGGTAAGAAGATATTCAGAAGATATTGCTACTTGATCCCCAAGGACGTATCTTCTTCACGCGCATCTCATGTGCATGGGCCATAACAACTGTGTCTCCTAAGATGGACCTGGTCCTTCACTGAGTTCATTTGTCATTCTTCAAAACTTCAACTGATCTTGGGCCAACAAATTCCCCCTTTTGATGATGACAAACTCTGTGCTTTTACTGATCAGATAACCTGTGGAACTCAGCTAAAATATCATCACTTGAAAAATTTAACTTATCATTAAGGGCCAGATTTAATTAGGTCATAAACATCACTGTTCAGAAAAATAGTTTTTAAGCACAATACACAACATCTTCCCCCTTTTGGCATCATCGAAAAGTTGCATAAACATGTGAATCCCAGAATATTAATCATTACTTATGGCCACTGGGGCAACTGCAAGTGAAAGCATGCTTTAGTTAATCAAAAATCAACTTGACAAAAATAACTATTAAGAGCAGAATCATCATAAAACAAGAGAAATTTAAATTGTCATTGATAAGGCATTGCTTCTACAAGACAGTCCACAAAAAGAAAGAACAAAAACAACCAACCATGAGCAAAAACAAGAAAAATCCCTAATCTGGGTCACTGGGGGGTAACTGAACTAGGACAAAGAGGGCTAAGGCTTTGAAGAACTAGAGGGTTGGGATTGGAGTAAGTTGAGCATTGTTTGTAGCATCCCTTCACTCTTTTCTTTCTCTTTTGCTAGTTCTGCTTTCAGCCCATTCCTTTCTTCTTCCAACTCAGCCACACGAGCCTGAAGCCTAGCAATCTCGGCATATTTGGTCCCACATTCTTGAACCAAAGCCCTAACCTTGCTATTCACTGGAGTCTTCACTGATGAACCAGGTTCAATAGGGGCTACACTTAGCAGATAGTCACAGGCTTGGAGAGTCTTGATTCCAAAGTGCTCCTTACTGGAGGCCATTTCCCATTTCTTCAAAGGAACGTTCAGCCTGTCCAGTACAGTTGTTAGAATGAATCCATAAGGAGTAGCATGAGCCTTTGAACCATTGATGACTCTATCCAGCAGTTTGACTATGAAAGCAGGCCAATTACTCTGCTTACCCCTCACAAGACACTCCATGAGAACCAGGTCCATGTAATTTGCAGTGTGCCTCCTCTCCTGTCTAGGCAGCAGGCACTTGTTCACAAACTCAAAGATCACTTTATGTTCTGGCTTCATTTCACTCTTTTGAACAAATCTTGCTTCAGGCACCTCTTCAGCATCCTTTGTATCACAGAAGTTCCTGGTGATTTGGAGTGCTGTGGGCAGATCATCTAGACAAGGCCACCTTTGCCTGGTGTAATCATCATAGCCTTCACTTGGAATGTCTAGAATCCTTCCCAATTCAGGTGCATCAAATTTCACCTTCACACCTTTCACCACACTGGTCACTAGCCCATTTTTCACAGAGCCATTTGCCGTGAATTCAATCAGCTCTCTTCTGGCTAGTCTTCCATCCATCTGAAGGACCATGTCCTTCCAACCCTGTGCAGCTAAAACATCCAACAACCTAAGCATGCCTGGCTCCTCCAGGTCTTTCAGCAGCCTTCCCTTCAATATCTTCCTCCTGCTAAAAATAACAAAATGATCTTGCTCCTGTTCAGACTCCTCCTCTTCTTCTTCTCCACTCCACTCTTCATCTTCTTCTTCAGTAATTTTCACTTGTTTTCCCTTTACTGCAGACCTAGTTCTTCTAGCAAAAGAAGGTTCAGCAGGTACATATTTTGAAGACTTCTTTGCAGGAGTCTTGGTTCTTTTTGGTTTGTCAGTGGGAACCTCTACAGTTGTACCTCTCTCTTGATGGACCA